CATTGTTTATTTATTTCGATATCATAAAAGACTTGATAAGGAAATTGTTTGGGTCCTGCATTTTCACCATTGATAATGCGTTCCACTTTGGAGGGCTTAGATTCCACATTACTCAGACCACCGAGCACCGCCAGGAGGAGCAACTGCCATCTATGATGAAGACTTTCCATGGCGAAATGTAAAAGTTTTACTGAGAAGGTTACGAAATCGAGGAACTTAAATAGTCCAAATTCTTGACAGGAGCAATACATCATGATAAGACCTGCGACAGGCAATTAACAACAATGCAACAATGTTGCTAATGTAGCAAGTGGATATATTTTAATTGAAAGCAATGATTATAAATAACTTTAGGGAAACTTAATATGCTAGCAAGAAAAAACAAACTGTTAAATAATTACATGACCAACACTCATTAAATATTCTTACTCTCAATAATTTTCATAGTCAAACCCTATCGAAGACCTTTTGATTTGTAGTATTTGTAGAACAAAATAAGATAAGGCATACAGACGAACAATCTATTCAAATTACTTGGAATAATTATCTATACCTTTTAATCAGTTATCTAATTAAAATCTCATTCATGTTTGTGGCCTGAACCTAATGCAACTTAATTTGATTGGCTTTCATAAGGACTGTGAGGATGAATTTTGCCATATGAATATTGTGTATTTTATACTAAAAATAAACAACAGTTGAGGCACACCTTAAATGTTCATATTAAATTTTATTTTGTATATATTATATATATAAAAATTTTTATGGCTCATTAGTGTGCTGAGCGATCCAGTTTAAGAAATATGAAACCCGAGTAAAAATTGTCGGGACTTCAGCAGAGCACGTAACTGTTTTAAATGATACGAGACCAATCACAGTGCTAGAGCCATCAGGGTTTCTTTCTGCTAAGGGACCACCAGAGTCTCCTCTGCATGTCCTCTTCTCGTTAGGCGTGACACAAAGCCAATGCGAAAGAAACTTCCCATTAAAACGGATAATACGCTTGCATTCCTCATTCGATAATGTTTTCACATTTGTATATTGCAAATGCTCAGTTGATGCCCAACCTGAAAATATTGAAAAGTTAGAGAATTAGAAAAATAACAGAATGTCGATTTTAATACATATGTACCTTTAACCTTGCCCCAACCGGAGACAACAGCAGTTTTGTCAGCATAAAGGTTATAGGGCTCTGGCAATTTAGCTGGTTGAATATACTGGTTGAATTCCAGATCCTGTGGAAGTTTTATTAAACCAATATCGTTGCTGAATTTGTCCAGATCCCACTCTTCATGAATCACATAACTTCCAGCTTCCACGATCACAATTTGTTGTCCAATTTCTGCGCTATTACTTATATCCACAGCTCCAAGGTAAATTTTTAACCTTACACTTTTCGGGATTACAAATATATGTAAAATGTTAGAAAGGTCGGTTTATTTACTTAATCAGCATTTACCTACATTTCGCCAGACCTCCCATCCAAGCAATGAGCTGCTGTAAGAATCGTCCTCTTACCGATTATAGTTCCACCGCACAGCGTAACGATGCCGTTTTGCCGTTCAGCATGATAAAAGGCTTGATAAGGAAATTGTTTGGGTCTTGCATTTTCACCATTGATAATGCGTTCTACTTGGCTGGGCTTAGATTCCACATTACTCAGACAGAAGAGCACCGCCAGGAGGAGCAACTGCCATCTAT